ATAACAATTCTGTTTTTCTTAGCATATAGATACACAATTTAACTATATTTTTGTATATTCAACGCTGTTAAATTATATCACGTCAAAAGAGTATTGAAAGGATATCGAGAACAGTTTAAGCAATTATGGATGCAATGGGTGGCGTGACAAAATATTGATACATATATTTCCTGAGAAATTATAATCGTTGTTATATGTGAGAAAAAACATAACAATATGTTTTGTAAGAAAGAAGGTACTATTATAAGTGTATTTTCAAATCCGTTCTTGATCCAAATACAAATGAGTGGTACTTCAAAGTGTTCAGAATAATTCGATCACCCAGTATATGTATGCACTAGCCTTGTACAAACGCTTACACACGGGATCTGAGAGGCTACTGTTACGCCAGATGTCTACTAGTTCTACGAGACATGCGTAGATTTCGATGCGTGGTCATGACACTTGACAAAAAGCAAGTGTTCCTAGCATATCATGAACGAAATCACGTGGCGAGATATCTCGTCCACCGGTGCGAAGGGGTTAAAGATATCCCGGGGACCGAAAAATGAAATACAAGATACACACACGTTAGGTTCTTACTAGTGCACAGTAACCCGTTCTCGCATATATTACTAAATAACTTGTTCTTGAGTTTTATGAACTATGTTTTCTGATGCTACAAATAAAATAATAAAACTTATCTATGTACATTTATAAATGACTATGATAGTTTAAAAGAAATATGAGATACATGTTGTTTCTTTTATATTACATTAACAACCGATTCTCGTATACATTACTGAATTATTTGCTTTTGAGTCTTGTGTTATAGGGTAAAGTAATTGACCGCATACCAGTGAATGGACATTAGGCAAAAAAATGTAAATTATAAATTTAAAATTATTAAATGTTTATAAATGGAGTGTAGTCGCATTTTTAATAACCCATATTTTTAGTTTAGCGTATTAAGCAAACATTAATAAGTACAATTCTTATTGAAAATATTTCAGGAATGTGGCAGTGATTTACTGGACTTTTACACATTTTACACTTTATAAATAATTTTTTCAAAATTACGATAAGAATAAGTAGTTATTTTTAGAAACATTCCAAGAGAAATAAATGTAATTGCAATGTCAACAGCTGTTTTGTTGTTATAAATAAGTACATTCAAGTATTAATCTCAAACGTCCACAAATTTAGCAATTCGGTCATTCACTGATTGGGTTACCCTATTTGTGAATAACGGTAGTAGGTTTGTGTTTAAAATTTTTGTCCTTTTCAAAATAAAGGAAGAGTTATGGAGGGTTGAGTAATTATCACAAATGCACCGTTTTGTAAAAGTAATTTGCAGAAGAAGGAATTAAATTAGAATTTTCTTTTCTTCATTGATGGGCATCGATGGATTCAAAATCAGAAAAGCGTTTTATATATTTTTAGTCGTTGCTATAGTGGTATTTTAATAAAGGTCATAGTTCGTGGAAAAGTAATAGTTCAAGATTATTTATAAAATGAGTATGTATGTTATATCAGTACCTACCGTATATTTATATAAATTAAATATATTTACATATCAATATTAGTAAAATGGTGCAGTTCACTAATATTACAAATCAAATGAAATTGATGCGAATACAGTATCGTCTCTTTTCCATCGTTTTGATTCGTATTATTTGTAGTCTTTGAACGATGAATAATGATGTTTACTTAAAAGTTGGTACGTCTAGGTAAGCAGATGATCATCTCTCGCAAGCAATTCGAGTATCTTGTGCAAATATTTGCAGTTTACGAACAGTTTGCAAATGTAACCGAGAGAAAATACTTATCTCGGTTTCTGATCGCTTTAATAGCGAGGTAAACTAAGCAAATAACATCAAATCGAATTCCACGCGAAACAATATTTTCAATAATCAAAACAGAATATTATTCTTTATATAATACATCGGAAAGAGTACTAGATACTATTATATAGATTAGATATTTAAATAAATGAGTATATTCGATTTTATTATATGTAAAAAAAATAAGTTTTAATTCACAATTACATAGTGGAAAAATAAAATGTAAAAATAAAGTAAAATGTTGAAATGGCAATTCGTACGTGTTTTTTAATATTTCAATATATTCGTGTAGAAAATATATTTCTCTACTATTTACAGGATTTAATGATCATATTTTTTATAATACACTCTTTTTTCCACTCTTTACACACATTAAACACGTGTATTTCAAACTTTTATCGAACTATCGATCATTATTTAATACCGAACAGATTAGTATGCGCTGCTTGTTCCTTGAAGGGTGAGTCAAAATCGCTTGCTGGGAATACCAAGAATAGGTATTGTTATCCCTTTATTGAAAAACTTACAGTGATGCATTTAATTCATTAATTTAAAGATAAATATGTAATTTAGCCTTCGATGATGTCTTGCAATTCGTAAACTAAACATTTCATAAAAATCTAAATGGTAAACAAGCCAGGTAGTTTAAGTTCGAAATTCAATATTCAACTTAAATGTGTTTTACTTTATGTTTTTTCATTATTTTCTTGTCTGTCGGCATAGAAATTAAAAGGAACTACGTTTCACTCATTTACAGAAATTTATGGAGGATTGAAAACGTAGTACAACATTTAGAAATATTTCCAGATATTTTAAATTTTCTAAAGGCTTTCCCTCATTCTCTTAAAAAAAGAATAAGTATAAATGAATAGAAATAAAATAATAAACAGAGAAAATCAGTGTTGATATAAACATTGATTATTATAATTATTGATTGTTAATATTCAATTTAATATGACCAAGCAAAAACATTAGGTAAATTATTATTTAAGGCTTACATAAAATATAGTATAAAAACATACATTAATTATTTCTATTAATTGTAAGAACATAAAAATACGAGTGGTCTCATTGTGTTTTCATAAAGTTACACACTGAATGGAACTAGAATACCATTGAAAAGTAGTAGTTCCTAACTATTTGTTGAATAATTGCACGTTCTGTCGGTACTGTTGTAGAGTGTATTGTAGCGAATACGTGAAAAATATGTATATCTTTGAATGTAGAAGTGGAACGAGCTGAGGGTAATTGCAGAAAGCGAAACGAAACGTTATCGATGTGCGGATGTGTAAGAATTATGTAATTACAGCGGATTCATGTTTTCATAATTTTTTCAAATATTCAGTGTAATGGAATTCAAAATTGTCACACTAAGTAAAATAGTTAATATGTATATAATGTAAGAAGTTAATATAAACTCAAAGATAAGAAAGGCATTCTGAAACATCTAAAGAAATCATAATTAATCAAGGAGACGCGAAAACAACTGAAAAAGAGTTGTTTGAAAAATTTGAAGGAATCTACACATGCTTGAAATAGGCAATTAGATCTTCACAATTATTAAAAAAAATATCTAAAAATTTGATTAAATTACACTGAACAACAAAGTATTCAATGTGTTGATTATATTACATAAAACAAAATATTCTACCATAACACTTCGCTTTAATAGTCTCTTTCCTGGTACAGTAATGTCTCGATGAGTGCGACGAACTCAGGTCAGCATTCGTGGCAACACAGAAGGGTTTCCAGCCCCCCATAAATTTGATTTTGCACGAAGTTGCGCTTCTGCTTAGTTTCTGTCTATTCTGTTTTGATTGGTTCCAGAAAGGAAACCCCCCAATGGTGGGAACAACACCATTATTCGTGTTGGATTCATCGAGAAATAACTGTATCGACGATTAACAGTCGAGAATCTGTTAATAAATATAATGTTTCCATTCCAGAGGTAAATTACAATCACGAACCTATATGGCAACCTTAGCGACAATATAACAATTTCTTGTTTTTGGTAGAAGTTCCTAGGATCATCATCGATAAGCATTGACAATAAAAAAAGTTTACCAACCCCATAAATGCTGTGTACTCCAAAATTAAATACAATGAACTATGAACGTTCTTATGTCCGTGATGATCCAATCGTTGTCGAAAAATTGTGCTCGCGTAGATACTGATAATAATATAACATACAATATATTATATTATTATAATAATCAGTATAAATTACAAACGAAACATATTCTTTTATTACTATACATATATTCCAGTCAAGCCGATGATTTGAAAAACATTACTTATTTATGCCATACATAATTACCATTCCAGAGCATAATCTTCCATCACATAAAATTCTATAAACAGTACATAATTTATTCAATTCTTCTTCAGCTGAACTATCCAACATGTCGAAATTTCGCTGAACGCATACATACACGCGGGGGCCCCGTAGCGCGAAAAGGGTTAACACGCTTCCGGGCATATAAAAGTATTAAAACGAAAGGCTCGAAAGGATCATCGACGAATTCCTTGAAACGGAAGAGGCGGGTAAGGAACGCGAACGAGCGAGCAGGCGAGAGCCCACGGGTCCGCGGGTACCGTGACGACGGTCCTGAGGCTACAGTCCGTCGGCGGCGGCGGTGTAGCACGCTCGCTGGTGTGCGGTGCGTAGGTGTGTGCTTCGGGTTAGAGGCTTCTACATATATGAGAGCACACGAGTTCCTCGTGGTGTCCCTGTGTGCGCGTGTATGGGAGAGATCGGTTTTGTACAGAGAGTATATACGGGTCACATAGTGTGCGCGACGCGCGAGCATCAGTGAGGCAGCGCACAGTGTTCTCTCTGTGTGTGGGTCCGCGGGGAACGAGCGACACGGCGGCTGTCAGTGAAGGAGTGCGCGCGCGCCGTCTCGGTCGAGTCGAAACCCGCCGCCGCGTCGACGGTTGGTAGTGGTGGTTGTGTAGCGTACGCGAGGCGGCTGGCCGCGTGTGTGCATATGCGTGTGGGTGCCTGTACCACCGCGCAGTGCCGAGACGATACGAGGCAGAGGCGGCCAAGAGGTGGTGGTGGTGGTAAAACGGCAGTGACGGTAGTGTGTGGTGTAGTATCTGTAGTAAGGTGGTATGCGCGTGGTGTGTGCGCCCGCTCTCGGTTATATGGCTCGACAAGTCGCAGGCAGTTCAGTTGAGCAACTCAGTTCATACGCGTGCATGTGACGACCGCGGAGAAAGAGTGCCACAGCCACGGGATAGGAAGAAGAGAGAGGGAGAGTGGTGGTGTGTGTTAGTGTTGAGGAAGAAAGAGAAAATTGAGCTTCTTGGCCGCACGTATAGCCCCCCGTCCCTTCCTCCCCCGCCCCCCTCTCCTTCCCCTGACGACGACTGGAAAGATGTCAATAATTCGGTGGTACAGTGGCTCGGGTTTCCACGGATCACGGTAAATAACGAGTCCCTCAGAAGCATGGACCGGAGGGAATGACTACGACGACGACGACGACGTTCTGACCGTGCCGTGATATTGTAGTCACAATCTCCTCCCCCGGTCGGTCGGGTCGGTCTACTGTGACGAGAGATTTTCCGTGACGGGAGTGCACGCGCATTTTACTCGGGCAGGGAGGGGGGGTCTACTACCTACCAACCCAGTCGACAGAATATTACAGAGCGGTGGCACAAGGGCAGCGCAAGCCCCGGGTCGCGTTATGGCGCGGTGCCGATCGTCCCCGGGAATTCGTGTCGATTCTTACGTTGATCATCAATACTCACGGTATACGGTGACACGATGGAGTGGCGGTCTACGAGACCACGACGGACACACAACACACCACGACAACGACAGCATTCACAAGCCCTGTGAATGTACATGTGTATTGTGTGTATGTGTGGGTGTGCTGAGTCCATGGTACGCGTGCGCGTATAAGTCGCTACACGAGAATGTTCCCTCTTTTCTGTGTGCGTGCCATTCGTTTGCTCGCTCGCTCGCTCCCTCGCCCCGTGTGCTTCCTTGTGGAAACGTAGAGTTTTACGTGTGTGTGTATGTGTTCGTGCGTGCCCAGTAGTGTATACGTGTATGCACGTGCGCGACCTCTTGCATTGTGTGTCAGTGACTCTCCATGCTCATGGTGTGGAAGTAAGTGAGGTAGTTTGATCGCTGTCACGAGCATCCACTACCTGCCCTAGGAGTCTTACTATACTATACTATACGATGCCTATATCGTCTCTCGTCTATTTATACGACCGACCATACACGACTCTCGTACTTACCTCTCCTCCCTCACGTTCGCTCAGTCACTCCTTCTCCCCTCTCTCTCTCTCTCTCTCTCTCTCTCTCTCTCTCTCTCTCTCTTCCTCTTCCTCTTCCTCTTCACCCCTTCTCTGTGGGATACCTTCTTTCTTTCCTTTACTCTTTCTCGTAGTTTCTTCGTCGCCCTTAAGTCGCGTCTGCACATAACGAACGTGAATCTGGAGAGTACATTTGAACAGCAACGATCCAATGTTACTGTATTCGTCGATGAAACTTGCTGCGATCTGTTTTTGGTTATCGTTAAACGAGGGAGCATGATTGCAAATGTAGTCGTTGTTGAATGATCGTTCTTTGTCGAAGTCAATACAGTGATTTACTTTCGGATTTACAAGTGGAAATTTTACAATCTGTTTACTCAACAATAATGAGAACGTTCGTTCATTGGTTCCGAACCGCATCATACGAATGTGACCGTATAATTTCTTTTGACATGCAGTCAAGCGGGTAGATCAGATTTACACCTGCATTTGTCGTGTACCTGTATTGGAAGATGTATATCGTGGGCATAAAGTCAACCGAGAGCTCAAGTACATACTTGTGTTTACGGTGCCGAGACAAACGAATTGACAGAAATATAGATAAAAACCCATAAAGTGACGGGTGGTCGTGGGCCTCATTCAGGGTTCTAAAATTGTGTAAAGTCCCTTTCTTTAAATTTAAGTATACTGACCGGTCAAAACAAGTAGTGAACTCGGAGTATAGCAAAAGAATTTATCATTAACTACCAGTCCTATCTTTTTGAGGCTCTAAAAAGGGGATAATGTATATAGCCCTGCATTCTGCACCTCACTAGTCCTTCCTGTCAATGGTCTACTTTATGACTACCCTACGAAAAGCTTTCTAGTGTCTATACACATTTGTCTTCACGGCACCGTCCACACATGTCGCCGTTCATTCGCTGATGATCGTTCCGCTAGTGCAGACGCGGCTTTACACTCGGTCTTCCCCTCTCTCTTTCTATCTATGTATCTGTCCCTCTCTCTCTCCCTCTCTCACATTAACTCCGTTGCCCCACCACGTATCCCCCTCGTATCGGCTCCCTTTCTCCCGCCCCTCTCCCAAAGTCTTTCTCTTCTCTCTGTCTCCTCTTCCCTCGCCTCGTGACGACATCCGCGAACGGCGGCGGAGCGACTCGGCTCGGCTCGACTCGAGGCGACTCGAACCGAGTGAGCCGCGCCGCGTCGCGCCGCACTCTATCGTACACCCTCGTATGTCCGTACTTACGTACACGCGGAATGTGCCTGCCAGGAATTCTCTCTCTCACAATGGATTTATTGTGTTAGTGAGCAACAGAGCGCGTGTGCACGACGATAGTGTGTATATCGTGTGAGTGAAAGACGACCACGACTGACAAGACTACGGAACGACACGACGACGAGTAGAAAAGAACGTGCGCGTCCGGCTTAACTCGTGAGTCAAGATGGAGCTAGTAGACGCGATATGTGAATTTTGCGAATTCAGTGAGATTTTTAGTAAGAACAGTGCGGCCAGCGTACTACGCCATGCAAACGTCGTTGTCGGGTTCTCGGCTCGCGTTCACTCGTAGGACCCCACGATCTATTCTATCCACGACGGATCGTTCGCCATCTATCGTGTTCCCGGTTCGCGTCACGTTTATAGTTGGTGGACACGATACACAGCGAACTCGTAAAAATTTGTTCAGTGACCACAAAAGTGTTTTTCATTACCCGCGGGACGATATCCTCTTTGCGGAAATTTAAGATTGTTCAGGTTGTGTAGAAAGTGAACTTGTAATCCGGTTTCCATTAGTTTCAGTGCAAAAATTATTAGTGTCCCTGAAATGGGTGCCGCGTACGGGCCTGACTCCTGCCAAAGACTGAAAACCGGTATTATTTTGGTTTTGGTGTTACGTTGGTTATGTCATACCGAAACCGGAATAATTAGTAATATCTTTCCGAATTTCATCCGTCTAATACGATTCCTCTGAAACTTTTTGTGGTCACGACCCACTTAAATCGAATGAAAAAGTGTATAAATAGTGATGATATTTTCAATAAGCCACATTAAACCGTTGGACTATGAAATAGTACGAAGTCATAAATCTTGTTCTCTTTGCAGACAGCTGCGCGTTAACGTAAAACAATAGTTTGCTAACCTGACATATCAAGGTTTATTTATGGTGGAATTTAAATTCCTCCTTTAAACTTGCTTTATAGAAATATAATTCGAAAATACCAGTAAATACATATTGATATACTCGATATTTGCAGGTTTCGTTTTCGTTTCAATCTCGTCTCAGTAACGTCTCGTCGCATCAATACTTAGCTTGTCCTTAGGAGGTTAACTTCACGAGTTCGCTACGTTTGTCTACCGACTATACATATTTTCCGTGATACGTTTTTCGTACTCTTTATTTTTTTCATCATCGAGGTTCCCTTCGTAGCCCTGGGGCTACTACCCTAACCTTTCCGCGATCCGTTACGCGCATAAACGGTGTTTCTTCCGTGTATTCTTTTGGGTCGTGTGCGTGCGTGTGTGTTCTGTCTCGTTCGAAACGTGTGGGACTGCTTTTTCTTCTAAGTGTTTGTGCATTGTCGAACGCCTTTTCAGAATCCAGACGATAGTGCTCGCGCGTAATACAATATCGAGCCTCGCGCGATACGATTGATCATGCTGCGGCGAAACTACGTGAATGGAAAGTAACTCTCTCGGTGACCTGGGGATTATAATTAAAAGCAAGATGGTTCTGTGCGCACGAAAGAGCTGTAAACGCGACCAGCGGCCAAGGATTATCAATTCCCTGTAATCCTTAATGGCGCCAAGCCCTAGTAAGTGTTATGCATATTATGTATTTCTTTTTCTATTTCATGCGTATGTTAACGTACTATAATTTCTTCTATATACACGTTGGTACATAGAATTTCAAACAATGAATCTAAATATTTAGTCCGCCATAACAGTGGACTACGAATCTTATGCATTTGCAGAGTATGCGTGTGTGTACAGGCTACTACAAAATACTAAAGATTTAATGAAATTTGTATTTTACTTGTAATACTCTTAAATCTTATTTTCTGTTTAATTTTTTATTTCGTAAATGAATTTAGTAAACTCTACATTTGCATGTAGATCCACAGTCATAGCGTTATCAAGATTCGTGCTTCATGAAAACCGACTTTTCAGATTGTTCGATATCCGATATACTTCGAGGTATTTATATATTACAAAATCAGTCAGGAGGAAGACAGCTCGTTACCTTCCATAGTTGTACAGTTTCAAAAAGTGGATAACCGTGTTCACTTTTATATAAATTTTTACAGTATCGTTTGACTGCATTATAATCTCAATGCCGTGGTTTATTACAGACCACTTTATATTTATCTTCTTATCTGTGAGTGCACATTGTTTGTCGATACTACAATGGACCAAAGATCACGTTCACGATCTTAGCCAGCGTGAGCGCGAAATATAGCGAGGGAACGTAGCGTCTCGCGCTTATAACGAAATTTATAGGTTATTTATATGTGCTCGACCGTTTTTCCGCTACGTACAACCGGACTTGAAATTCTATTTTCCTCTTTCAATGCCCTCAACTGTTCGACGGTCATTCGAGTCGGACGTGGTTCTGTCGTGTCAGTCATTAATCGGCATTTCTCAGTTCAGATATGCGTTTATGGTTGACGAGAATTGTAGTTGGAGTACACTCGGTAATTGGCGGGTACGAATATCGTAAACGTTAAGGGGAACATTACGATACTAGTCGCGTTTTCAACGATCACGTCGACGATATCTGCAACGTTTACTGCGTACATTAATGGAGTACTATACATATACATACTCACCTAAATCGTTCCTTTCCAATTCTCTTTTGGTTATTAATGAATTTACGAAGCCACTAATGATGAAAATTATTAATGATATTTATGATATTGAGATATTTTATTCTTTCTACAATAATGTTGTTCATTGATGTTTAGTTTTATAAAAAGATATAGATTTATTGAAAAATATTTGTACATACATTTTATGGTTTTATACAACATGACGATTAATTTGAAGATATTTCTCTGAAAGTCATCATGATTCCTCAAAATATTTAAAAACAAAACCGAAACTAAATTGGCCCCGGTTGCATTTTTTTTTCTTTCGTATCATTTTTACACACGTATACTATGGATACATTAAATCCGCGACCTCATTATCATAAAAAAAAAGTAACTTACAAACCAGACAACAAAGCGTAACAAAATGATAATACGAAAAAAAATTTTATGTCACGTGAATTGTTGAATAATCGTGTTCTTCGAGATAACATATGCATAATGCACTTTGAAAAAAAAAAATAACTATCGTTCGTGTTTGCATGTGTAGTACTTTATTAACACTAGAACTACCGATAATAAACGCATATTTGCGTCGATCGGTGGATAAACGTGAAAAACTTTTGAAAATTTAGAAATTTAGAAATTGATTAATTTCTTCACTTTCTTATCGTAATAGAAGGTGCAAAAGATCTGAGTCAATGTATTGTCATAACATTTTAATCGTCGTTCTAAGAGTGTATTTACAAGTCATTTTGACTTGCTTGGTAGTTATGTTAAAAATTAGCGTGACCGTAAATGGGTTGACCAGCCGTTCTACGCGTTCGGTGTTAATCTCAATTTTTCGTGTATTGTTACATCGATATACGCGTAGACTCGTGCGACCTGACTGCGTGGTTTCTGTTCTAAAAGTGAACGAAAGTTCAAAGTTGATTCACACAATCGCCGATAAGATTACAACCGATGCACACGTGCATCGGATTCCATTCTCCCTTAACGTTACTGGCAACCGAACGCGAAAACGATCGAACGATCCGTCACTGGGCTTGTCGATACAACGAAAATCTACGTCAGTAATTTAGCGAAGTGGGGAAAAATTTCACATGGATACTATAGAAGTAGCAAAAAAGATGCGTTTAAGGATTACTCATTCGACATTTGACTGCCAGAGTGGGGCATAGAGAAGTTTGTGAGGGATCGAAAGCCTGTTTTTAAAGTGTTGAATTTGTTGTTTTTATTAACCCTCATTCGTCCCTTGTGTCAATTCGATACATTTTTCTTCTTAGAAATGATGTTGTTCTGTTATGTATAAGTAAATTTATCTGAAATTTCGTGACTTTTATTTGAAAGAATTTATCTCTTCATTATGTTAAGTTTTTTTACCACTGTGTCAATCTGACACCGAGGGATACGTTGGGAAAATGAGGGATGGAGGGTTAACCCCCTGAGCACGGACGTTTTTAATGTTCGTAGAGGCAGTGGTATCTGAAAACCGTGTCCCCTTCCTTTTAAACATACTTTTGAACGCGATCATTAAAGAAACACCTGCTTTTTTTATACGACTAAATAAGAACAACTCCTACTTACATTATATTTACAAATTGGTGACTTGGATATGGCTTTTAACCTCTTCAGGGACAAATTATTAAGACTCAACTGCGTCTATTTAAAATATATTTATGAATGTTAATGACAATCAATTTGTAGGTTATCCTTTGATTTTTTGTTACGGAATTAGTGTATACGAGTAAGTGTTTATTCGCTATAATATTCATCGCATCTTTGGAGTTATGATTGAATGAAAGAGAAACTAAACGGTCATCGTACTCCAAAGGTTAAAGGAGTAGGTTACTACTAGTAGTCTGAAGTGTAAAATGCAGTGAAATAAAAATTTGAATAAATTCGATCACAGTCCTTGACTAATATTCAACAAAATGAAATCCTTGAAAGACGATATATGTATGTACATATTTTCCGTTTCACAGTTGTCTTTATGAGTTCTTACCTGTAAAATGTATGATTTTACATAAAGATGCACGGTTGACTCATCGGTAGATTGCGAATTTTATGCAGTCGTAATAGGTGCAGCGTAAATGAAGCACCGTAAAATAAAAACCTTTACAATATTTATACTTGATCATTATCTTCTTCAGCTAGTAGAACCAGTCATTCATACGATATAAAAATAAATGAATTGATGTTTATGCACGGAATATGGATAAATTAATTCTAGTGCAAGGAAACATAGCAGATGACCATTCGGTGGATAATTATTTATGTTTACGTACACGTACTTCGTTTCTTTTTAAATAAAATTCACTCGTACCAACAAAAACATAGAAGTGATTCAATATTGTTAAGCACATTTATTCATTAGAAACCACATTCGTAATAAAAAATTTAATTTAGTGTTCTCTAGAAGTCAAGTGTTTGGTAATTTATTTTGTAATACTTGTAAAATTATACCCTCAAATAACATCTGTATACAAGAAAGATGTTTTTCCGATATTTAACACATTCCTCAGAGAATTATTTCACCAATTATTAAATATTGTATTTCATATCGTGCATCGGACTGTGAAGTAAAATTTGTTAATTTACTGTCTCTTTTTGAAATATATACTTTTTGTCTACGATAATTAAGGTCAGCGTTTTCGTTTCCTTCCGTTGATACTTCATTAAGTGACTCACCTCTTGCGATGCTCACGTACGCGTTCATTATTCGCGAGGAATCGCGAACGAAATAAGTGTTATCTCTCGAGGCTTCGTGATAGCGGGGCTCGGTTACTTGCGTTGCATCATTTTCACGGGCCGGATTGATTCGCAACCGTGTAATGATCGAAATTCAACGTCGTTACGTTGTTCCGTGGAACAAAAAAAAAAGAGAAATGTATTTAGATTGTCACGAATGAAACGTCTTTTTTTTTTGCAATTCAAACGTTGCGTTTCGAGAAGAAGGCATTTCTGTTGGTCTTCGTAAAACCATCTGAATTTCTAATAAATATATACTGTCCAGTTATACAACATTAATTTTTATTAGGATGTTGGAGCAGTGGATCGGCAATTTCTTCACTTGATATTCAGGGAAAAGGCAAAATGAGAATTTTATTAATGATACTCGGAGTTAAATACGATAAAAGACAAAAATTCTTGTCAGATTTAACCCTCTAATGGTAAGGTGCGGGTCGTATTCAACCAAAGTTATAATTCTTGTTGTGCTGTCCTCAGTCTATTTTTTGTTATTTTTTTATTATTCTCGTTTTAGAATATTTGTTATTATTTAGTAAACGTTTAATACTTATTATATGTTATACTACTCAATTATTCTCCCTTGTTACATAAATAAACAAAAATACAAGTTCAAGGTAATAACTCTTTTTTACCTGTTTGAAAATAACGAAAAAGAGGTCGGGTTGGATTTGACCCAACCTTACCATACGAGGGTTAATATTAGGTCTACCAACAAGTAATGCATTATTTCTTTTTAATAAACTGGTAACACAGTGTAAATATAAAATATCTTTCCTCCCTTCTTCTTTCAAAATGGCGGCGGACATTAAAAAATAAAGACGTACAATTACTGAAACAGCGCAGACGCTTCTAATTTCCTCGAAAATAAGCATTGAGCATGATAAAAGATGCTGGATTACTAATTGGTACGCCTGATACATTTATTGTTTCGTTCTTGACTGAACAAAATCTAAGGAAACTGAGAAAATTCTCTGTTTTCATTTCAGTTATTATAAATCTCTTTAAACCCTCACGCGACGGACGTGAATGCAGATGGCCGGGTCGCACATGACCCATACTAGACATATAAAAATATTATTCATTTGCAAGAATTTGAATAAAATAATATAAAATTTGCATTTTTGTAGAGACTGATTTTTATTAATTCGTGAAACGAATTACTCATTCCTCAAATCATTGAAGCATATTGAACGAAATAACGCAGCCGTCGTTATGCGAGGGTTAAAACTACCATTTCATTTTTAATAATTACATCA